AGTCCTCGGGGGTGACGTCGCTTCTGCGGTCTGTGCTGGAGCCTCGGCCCACACCTAAGTTTGGGGACAGTGAGGATGCCGAGCCACAGGGGAGCCCCAGTCACACAGAGTCCACATGCAGATGCTTTAGGGACGTCGCAGGTGACCTCAGCATCAGTCCCTGCTGGTCGTGTGGGTGAGGAAGCTTCCAGATGCTTCAGCCCCCGCTGCGGAGCACCCAGGCTCCAGGTGGTCCTGCCGAGGCCCAAGGAGCCGACACGACCCTCCGTGCTGCACCTGCCAGATGCTGAGTCACCAGCTCCATGGCCTCCCACCCCCGGCCTGGAGGCTGGGGTCTGGCCCTGGGCTGCTGGAAGGCTCCCCCCTTTGAGACAGAAGGTCTGACCCACATCCAGTTCTCAACGGTGTCTTCCAGGCCCAAGACAACAGGCAGCCGCCACCCCACGTCCGGACAGCGTCTTCTCCTCGGTTCTCGCCCTGCAGCCCCGGGAAAGCCCCTCCCTCTCCTGGCCTCCTGCCCCACACATTACAGGAGGGGCCTGGGTTCCACAAGCTGGCAGGACCCCCCAGGCTGTGCCCTGGTCAGTGAGCCTGGGCCCCGCAGAAAGCTGGAAAGTCAGTGTGGGATGCAGGTCAGCCCAGGGGAGCAGGGCGAGTTCCACCCCGGACGACTGGCAGATGGCACAGGAGGCGGCGGGAAGCCCCTCTCCCTGCTCCTGGTTCTTAAGCAAATGCCCAGAAGGTCTTCATGTGCAGGCACGCGGTCATGGTTGGGGTGCAGTGAAAAGCCTCCAGGGCTCTGGGTCCTCCAGGCTGAGCTCTGGGAGGAGGGAGACAGAGCCTGCGGCGGCCTTCACAGCGGCGAGGCTGTCAGCACTGAGCCTCTTGCAGAGCGGCAGGGCCCCAGCAGCCCTGGCTTGAGCTGGGCCAAGACTTCTTAGCCCCTGTGCAATCTGACAAGCAGATCTCCACTGGGAGGGGAAACCTGTTCCCATGAGCCAGGAGCCCTCCCTGGACCCCCGCACTGCCCCTTGGGGTGGCTAAGCACACCCCCAGTGGACCTCCTAGCACACCCGCACTCAGGCCACCCTGACATGTACAGGTGAGCAGACACACACACAGGACTTCCTGCAGATACAAGGGAACCTACCAGGAAGTCTGGGGACACAGTCCTCCCTGCCCCACACCAGCAGGGGACACTGGGCACTCACATACATACTCACGTCCCCACCCTAGAAGTTCAGGGTGGAAGTTCAGTCTCTCTCTAGGCACGTACCCCCACAAGGTCCCCAAGGCTGTCTATGAACAGGGGAGTGGGGTCCAAGCACAGGGGCTGTTGCTGGTGGGGAGAGCTGAGATGCGGCCTCTGAGGGAGGTAGCATTAGGAAGGACCCTGGAGGAAGAGGTGCCCCACAGGAAGGAGGGAAAGAGAGAGGGGGGAGGCTGGCATGCACCCCACACACCCCAGGCAGGGCCCCCTCTGCTTCCACTTTCTGCCCCTCTAGGGTGCTAGTCTTAATCCAGGGGACCCAGCCCACTGCCCAGGCTCCCGCCACACCAGGCCTTGGGCAAGGCCCTCCCTGAGCCTGAGCGAGGCTGGTGCCCACAGTCCTGTAGCATGAGAATCAGAGGGGGAACCTGTCGGGGGTCTGACCATATGGGGGGCCCAAGGGCACTGTGAGCAGACAGTGCCGTACAGGACCTTGGCCTTGCTCGTGAGCCCCGCACTCACTAGGAGGGGCCAGGCCACCCAGAGCTCCGGGCCGGAGAGCCCCCCGGGCCTGGGAAGAGCCTCCCTACCTGCCATGGGCACAGCCTCACCAGAACCAGCTGTGGGCTCAGGTGCAGGGCAGCCCTGCCCCAGGCCTGGACCCGTCGTCACTGCCATGCTCTATGCCCTGGACCTATAAACTAGGAGCCAGGGCTGCCCCACAGCACAATTACAAGGCTGAGGGCAGAGGGCCCGGGCCCACAGGCAGACTTCCTGGATGGAGCTCCTGGAATGGCCGTCCATTCATGCAGATACCATTCCCCAGGGGCTCCAACAGGGACAAGCACAGCCCCACCACCACTGAGCCTCACCCCACAGGGGGCAGAGACCACCAGCCAGCCACCTTGGCCATCAGGGCGCCCATGCTGGGGGGACCAGGGAAGAGCCCCTGGGGTGGCTGGCAGAAACAAGGCCCACACCCATGCCATGCCAGGTGAGGAAGGCAGGTCAGGCCCTGCCAGGGCCGGAGGAAGCCAAATCTTTCCATCCGAAGGGCTGTCCTCTCTCCCGAGAGCAGCTGCCCTACTTCCAGAACACTGAACCACTCTTTCCCCTGTAAAACCTTGGCAGTAATGGATGGTGGGTACTTGAGCTTTTTATGTCCTTACCCGGCAAATAAAAAAGCTGGCGGCTGTCAGTATGGAGAAAATACTGAGCAAGCAACCATATGTTGGCCTCAAGTCGTTTCCAAATGCTAACAGTCTACAATGTACATATACTCTGCCTGGAATAGCGTCATGGGAGGCCCCAGAAGGCCATGGCTAGCAAGCAAGGCCGGCAGCCTGGTTAGGAGCCGCCCTGCAGGAGGGGAGCAAGAGGGTCGGGGGCTCTGCAGGGGGTGGGATTGGAGGCAGGAGGTGCTAAAGTGGTGGGCTTCTACATCAGAAAGTGGAGGCTGACGGGGCAGTGGCCCAGGGACATGCAATCACTGTGGGCCCGTCACTGCAGGCCAGGCCCGGTGTCCAATAGGGAAGGCCCAGGAGCCAGCGCTCCTCTCCAGACCCACACTGGACAGGTCACCCTCCAGCCAGCTGGGCAAGGCTGCCCAGGAAACACACTCAAGACCCAGGGCCCTGAAAACACCAAGCATGACCCAAGGAACACCACTCCAGGGACCTAACCTGAGAATGGGATGCAAGACCAGAATGACCCACACCACCACCCCTGGGAACATGGTGCGTGACAGTGAGAGATGGGAGGGGCCCAAAGATGTGGCCCAGGGTCTCACGCGATAATCATGCGGATCCGACAGCATCCGCACACCTCTGAAAGCCTGTTGTCGGCGTGTATGAGGGCACATGTGCCATCCCAAGTGAAAAGCAGGATCCCAGAACACTATTCACTTCAACCCAGTTCGCAAAACACTGTGGACTGAGAAGAGGCAGGCAGGAAACAGAAATGGGAGCAGTACCCCTCAGACGCTCCAACGTCCATTTTCCCTGTAACTCACATGTGTCACTTTCACAGTCAAGAAACAACATAGCTCATCTTGAAAAAGAAATAGGAAGGATAATCAAATACATAATTGTACATAAAATCTGCAAAGGGCCCTCTGCTGCCTCGAGTTCTGGAACCCCGACTTGGAAGGGTGGTGCAGTTAACAGAGACAGATGGACAGAAGGAAAGGTGGGGGTGGGGGGAGTAGGTGGGCAGGTGATGGATAGGTGGCAGGTGGGTTTGGGCCTGCCAGTCAGAGGGGTGTGGTCCTGGCCACACCCAACCCCTCTCAGACCTGACGGCTCCCCAGGTCACAGGAAGGATGCAAGGAGCCGAGGGCAGGGCTGAGTCCCACCCAAGGAAGCCCTGTCCTGCTGCGGGGCCCGGTGCTTCCTCGACGGCTGACTCCAAACACATCAGGAATCATCAGGACAGAAAACTCCAAACCCACAGACGACGGGCCTAGATTTCAGAAGTATAAGCAGTATGGGTGCCCAAACCATGAGGCCCCTGCTGGGGAGGCTGGCCAGGGTCCTGTATGGACAGAAGACAGGGAGGGAAGGCTGCTGGCAGCGGACACTTACTGAGACTGAGTAGGCACAAGGTGCTGGCCTGGAGTCAGGAAGCGCTGGCCCTGGGGGGGTCCTTGCCCAGGGGACTGGCCGTCATATGCTTGCTACCCACAGAACAGTGTAACAGTTCTCTTCCAGGGGCCACCAGACTGCCCAGTTTGCCCAGAGCAAAGGTGGGAAGGGGAAGGAGAAGGCCAGGAGTGGGTCTGACATAGCCGTCAGCAGGGGGCAAGGCTGAGCGACAAGGGGACATGTGAAGAGACAGGGAAGTTCCTCAGGTCCGTGCATGGGACAACAGGTTCAGCTGGACCCAAGCACTCCAGGGCTCCTCAGGAAGCCAGCAACCCCTGGAGGCTCCCAGGGACGGCAGCTTCAGGATGCGGGCCACTTGGGACAAGGGCTGTGACCTCACCAGGGGATATCCACACAGGAGGGCGCTCAGTATCAGCCCTAGCCCAGCCCCAGAGCCCAGCCTGTCCACCAGCCCACCCTGTTCCCTTTCCTAGACAGGCTGGCTCAGGCTCAGAGAGGTGCTTTGACAGGCTCAGGGTCCCCTGGCAAGGAGGTGGCAAAGGGAACTGGGACTCAGACAGGCCTTAGGTTCCCCTTGGGGCTCCCCAAGCTGCACCGTGCTGGGATAGAAAGCTGAAGAGCTGGGGGCCCATCAGGGCTCCCCGAGAAGGACTTGTGGAGTACAGCCTGGCCCCAGATGGTAGGGACTACTAAGCACCAGCTACCCACCCCCACACCTGCCAGGTCCCCTGCAGAAATGTCTGTCCCCTCCTCAGAAACCCAGCACTCAAGGAGTCTTTCTGTCAGGAGCCAAACCTCATCCCAGACCAGCTGCCTCACCCAGCCCGTCCCAGAGCCGACATCTAGGGAGCCCCACAAGGAAATACAGTGGGACCCCCACAGGGGCAGAGTCAATCACCCAGAGCCCCACTCCAACCAGCCTGTGTGTCCACTGCTGGCAAACCAGCTATGCAAATGGCACAACTGTGCCACATCATGTCCACATGTACTTTCACAGGTGTGCAGACCCTGCCCATGAGTTCTGGTGCGAGGCAGACACATCTGGGGAAAAAGCGTGTGAAAAGACGTGTGTCCCGCCACCCGAATGCACTTCTGCTTGCGTGTGTGCCCACTCAGGCATCCACATGGGGCACTGGTGCAGCAGTGTGCCCCACGGAGGCGGCACCTGCACACAGCTGCACACTCACAGGCTGTCCCTCAGCTCCTGCGTGTCACTCGGCGTCCCCAGGGACCAGAGGCTCTGCTCCAAGGAGGTCACTGCGGAGAGAAGGAACAGAGACGTCAGGAGCAGAAGGACCTGCACTGCGCAAGCCCCAAAGCTCTGGGTATGCCCCCGCCCCCAGCATAAGCAGGAGAGGGAGCCTCAGGACAAGCACGCCAAGGCCAGGGGGCCACCCAAGGGACCAAGAGCCTGCCAGGGTCAGGACATCAGGGCCCGGCAGTGCTGGGGGCCTCCAGGCTGGCACAGCCCCCAACCCCACACTTGGTCGGTTACACCCCTGGGCAGGGGCCTTCTTCCCGCCTGTCCTGGGACAGACCCCTAGGTCCACGTGGGGCTCAACGGTTCTTAGGAGTTGCCTCCAGGGGCCTCACCCTGGGTCTGGGGAGGGGGTGCCTCTCTCCTCCCCCACATCTTGCTCCTGTTCAGCACTTTCTTACTGGCCTGAGAGCTCTAGGTTCGGGCAGACACCACCCTTCCCCCAGGAGGGTGCAGCGAGCCCTGCCTGTCCCATGTCCCCAGGTCTGTGGGAGCTGAGGACAGGCCCCGGCCTGGTTGTTATGGCTCCCGCCCCCCCCCCCACGCCACAGTGCCCTGTGAGTGGGCCTGGCCTGCCAGGCTGAGCGAGGCTCTCACAAGCTCCCTCCCTACAGGGACTTGCCTGCATCACAGACGACAGGAGGAGGGAGGCACTGAGGGGACAGGTGCAGGAGCGCTGTGTGGGCGGGGGGTGCAGGGCACAGCAATGGCCTCGGGGTCTGACTGCAGGGTGCCGAGTGGGGTGAGGCTGTGGCCACCCACCACCCCGTGTGACTTGACCTCCAGAGGCACGAGGTGGGCCTGGGCACAGACTCACCATTGGAGCTGATTCGGGAGATGCTGGCCGACGTGTCCTGGACTAGCTCGTGGAGGTCACCGGGCTCCGCCTGGGCAGCTGCAGGATGACAGGAGGGGGGAGCACACATTCACTGGGCTGCCTGCAGAAGTCGGCACCAGAGCACCACACCCCCTCCCTGGCTCAGGGTCGGGCGGGGCACCAGGGGTGCAGCCCCCAACCGGCAGGCGTGGCACTCACAAGCCAATGGAAACGGGAAAGCAAAGAGGGAGGCTCCTCGGGAGGTCCAGCCCAGGGCACCAGCTGCCCTGCGCCCCCAGGAACTCCACTGCTGGGCACACTCCAGGGGACGAGCACCGGGCCCACACGAAGGCCAGCAGCGCGTTCACCACGGCTGAACTTGTGAGTCACACAGGGCAGCAACCCAGAAGGTCCGCCGACTGGTGAAGAGGCGTGGTCCACCCTGGCAGTGGGACACTGCCCAGCCACGAAAATGAGTGTGACATGCTTCATGTGGCAGGGGAGCCTGAAGTCATCCTGCGAGGGGAGACGGTGTCGCCTGTTCCCCTCACGTGAACTGCCCACCCCCAGCCCACAGGCACCGAGCGGGTTTGTGCTTGTGGGACTGGGCCGGGGGTGGGGACGCTGCTCAGGGTGGGGGCTGCTGTCTGGGGCCAAAATGCTCTGGAGTCAGATAGTGATGGCACAACACCAAATGCACTAAAGCCACTTCAGTGTTTGCACCAGGATGGCCAAAACGGGAAAGTTTCTGTTGTGTGAATTTTACCAATCCAAAAACTCCATATAGAAAGTTCTGCAGACACTGCCAAGTCCCAGCGAGGATGAGAATGGCCAGACCCTGCTGAAAAGAGCTCGAAACAGCATGTGCCACGAGAAGGTCCCTGCATCCCTTAGAAAACCGGACATGGGCCACCCTGCGGCCCAGCCACGTGCAGTCACTGTGCACAGGAACACATGATGCCCACAGAAGTTGGGCTGAGACGGCCACAGGTCATGTTCCCAACACCAGGAAAGGGTGCCACACTGTACATGAGCAGAACACAAAGGCACAGTCCCTTCATGCAACCAAGCCACAGAGGAAGGACAGGCCACACAGTAATCCCACAGCTCTGCCTCCAGGGGTTGACCAGGCCCCAGAGCACACTCATCACAAGCCAGTTTACAGCATGTTCCAGCAGACAAGTCACCTGGTACCCCGGGCTGGGGGTGAGGCTAGGGGACTTCCAGGTAAGGGTTACCAGGCACATGCATTTGTCAAAGCCCCTGGATGACCTAGGATCTGTGCATCTCACTATACAAGAGAGAAATGAAAGACACGTGGATATTTAGGAGGTGTGCCCTGAGGCCCACAGCTCTCTCCAGAACACATGCAAAAGTAAGGGGATCAGTGATGGGCAGGCGGCCCACTCCCACTGACACCACGCAGCACAATGGGTGGGCACGTGGTGGCCACTGTGTGATTCTTCCAACTTTTCTGTGTGTTTAAAATGCCCCAGGTAAATGCAATCAAAAAGGAGCTTGGTGTGAGGTCTGGAAGGGGCTGGAGGTGCGGGGACCCTTCCCAAGCCAGCCTGTGGTGGCCCGGCATAGGGGAAACACCACCATCCTGGGCCCACACACCAGGATGCAGGCCCCAACCAGCTCTGCTTAGCGTCCCAGGGCAGAAGCACAGACTTCCCATGTGGGGCTCCCAGGAGGACACAGGTCACCTGCAGGCCTATCCTGCCAACCGCCAACGCCTCCCACTTCGGCTCCCAACCCTTCAGCCATCTCTGTCCTGCTGCCACCAGGAAGCATGGCTCCTGAGCACAGGGTGACCAACTCGGAGGGCCCACATGCAGGCTGGGGGCGAGGTGGTACCTGGAGTGGTCTCCAGGGGGCAGGTCCATGACGGAGGGGCTTCTTCCCACCACCACCTCTCAGCCACCTGGCTCCAGGCTGGACACTGCCAGGCACCACCTCACTGATGAATAAACACACAAAACAGGAGGGGGTGCATGAGTCACGGCCTGGCCAGCCTGAGCCCAGCCCCTGGGAAGTCCCCCAGACCCCTCGTCTCCCTGACACACAGTCCAGACTGTCAGGACCATGCTATGTGTCTCCACTGCCACACCCCGTCCCCAGTCCCCAGTAGAGATGGTGCCTCCAGCCTGGACAGGAGGGGCTCCCTCTCCGAACCTGGCAGGTCCCCTGAGAATGGTAACAATGTCGCACTCTGACCAAGAGGCTTGAACGGAAAGAGGAGAGCGTGGAGACGAGCGGGGAACCGCACACAGGGGCACAAACACGGAGCGGAGCCCGCAGCGGTGATACCCGGAGGGTGAGCCTGGAGCTCCCCTGTAACATGGCGACACGCCCCTGGGAGCCCATGAGCTTCTTCTACAAGACACACATGAGGAACGGGGCTCAGGCAGCGCCCGCTCCCAGGCCTCTGTCCTCGTCTGCAACATGAGGCAGAGGGACTACTCAGCTCTAAGAATCCTTCATGCCCTCCCCATGCATGCGGATGACTCCAGAAGCCCCTCACACTGGGGCAGACGGGTGGGGGCACATCCCCCACACTTGTCCCTTCTTGAGGCTGGGCTCTGGATACCTCTTCAAGCCCTGTCTTCTGACCACCACGTCCTGCCCTTGTGGCAGTGGCCTGATTGGCCATTTGGAACCAAGTCCTTGTCATAAAACTACTGACCCATGAAGTGGCCTTCATCTTTCCAGATAACTGTGGTTCTGAGACATTCTGTCTCGGATCTGGGCACGAGGCATCTGAGCTCCAGGAAGCTGAGTGGGTGGCTCAGTGCACCAGCTAGTAAGTGCCAGGAGAGACAGCAGGCGGCTTTCACAAAGGTGACACGCTACCCCATGGGCAGCCATTGGTCTCAGGGAGAGCCCCATGGAGACGCAGCAGCAGTGAGGAGGCCTCAGGCAAGGAGCAGAGCCTGGAGTGCCCCGGAGCCACATAGGCTCTCAGCTCACCAGCCCCTGCTCCAGCAGTGAGTCAGGGCAGAGCCCCCTGGGGCCAAGCAGGTCCTCCCAGAGAGGCTCCCCCACTGGCCTGGGGTGCAGGAGGCGGGAGCCGGGCAGAAGCTGCAGGGCTGGGCAAAGCTTCCCTGAGGGGCACGGTCCAGGGCAGGTCTGGTCCCCAGCCAGCGGGCAGATGCCAAGCCTCCATCACAGAGGTCCCTGTGAGCAGCCCGTAGAGACCCCTGCCTCAGGATGACACAGTGGGCGTGCCAGTCTTGCAACAGATGCAGAAGGTCAGGCGGATATTTCTGATGCCACTGTGGGGTTTGTAGACACCTAGAGTCACCATGGGTGGGCATGAAATGAGGGCTGGGGGCGTGGGTGGGGGCTGCCAGCCACTGCCGCAGAGCGGCTGTGGACCCAGGGCGGGGGTAGTGTGTGCATTCTTGGGTGAAGATGTAAGGCAGTTTCGGCCAGGACAAGGACTGCTGCCGGGCCCCCACTGGAACCTGGGCGAGGGCGTGGGGGCCTGTTACCTCAGCTGGAGAGATGCCAGGGTGGATGCCAGCTGCACTGTCAGGCAACTCAAGTTGCCTCCTAGACCCAGCCTTTCCGATGGGCTCGGCCCCTGGCCACATGGCACGGGACATCTCCCAGCCCCCTTGCAGCCACAGGGACTGCAGGACTAATCCCCCCTCTGGAATGTGGGAAGTGGAGTGTGGTTTTCTCTCATGTCCCCAAAAGGAACTGCACGCCCTCTGCCTCTCCCTTCCTCCCTGGCGGGCAGGCAATGGGGTGCCACATCCAACAGACCAGGGCAGCTGGGGGGCAGAGCCACAAGCCGGAGGGGGCCTGGGCCCTGGGCCCTGGGGCAGAGCTGCCGGAGGCCTGGCCGCTGGGCTGCACAGGGAGACGCGGCCGTGCCCTCTCGGGGCTCTGCCCCAGCAGCTGGGCCTCCTCACCACCAACCACACACACAGCCCCATTCAGCAACAGGCGACACAGTACAATAGGGACAGAGGGACAGTCACTCTGGCTGAGGGGCAGATGAGGTGTCTACTGCCAGCCGCAGACCACAGGGGTGCCTCAGGTCAGCGGTGTGCACTGCACAGAAATCTAGCCCCAGTTCTCACAGAATAACAGTGCAGAGCTCCTCAGAGCACCCTGCCTCTGCCATAAGGGGGCAGCGCCAGGGCGGCCCTCCCCCAGTAAGCAGCTGAAACCCGGCAGCCAGGGGAATCCGACTGCTCGTGGATGGCTTCAGTGTAGTGCCGCAGCCCTGAGAACAGCCTCCAGGCACCCAGCTGCTTCCTCCCGGCAAGACCAGCCGCGGAGCCGGTGTCCTGGGGCAGAAGCAGCCCCAGCAACTGCACTCAGCCTCCTGGGTCTCTGAGCAAATACACGTCCGTGTGCACACAGGGCAGAACAAAGGAGAGCTTTCAGGGAAACGCCAACGTCCGAGCAGCCGTATGCCAGCCCTCCCACAGAGACAGATGACCAAACCCAGAGCAGAAGGACATACCCAGGAGCAGAACGTGACCCGAGCATAAGAACCCTCCACAGACACAGGCACGGAGATGCGAAGACACAGAGATGCGAGATGCAGAGACGCAGGGATGCAGAGACAGTAGAGACACAGAGACACACAGACACACAGACATAGAAACAACAGGGACAGCCCAATGGTGAGGACGTGTAAACTGCGTGAGAACCCTCATGGCTGCAGGGAGCCCACCAGCCAGGAGAGCTGGCGGGCAGAGCGGCCAGGGACTTCTGACAACACAAGGAAGGGATCTGAGTGAACCCCCACTTGGGGTCAGCAGCTGGGGGCGGGGCAATGCCTCTGCGAATGGACCAGGAACACAGAAGATGACAACAGAGGCCCAGCCATGCGCCCCCAGGGTGGCATCTGGTGCGCAGGGAGCGGGGAGCAAATGGAATGGATTTCAAGAAAAAGGACCAAAAGTACCCAAATTTTATGCAACTATGCACCCCTTGGCATAACTCCCAAGCAGGGTATAAACATTAAAAATAAAAAACCCAAGCCTCATCATAGTCAAAATTACAGAAAGCTGGGATAAGGAAGGAACTCTGAGAGGGGTCAGAGAGGAATGCAT